GCGCTGTGGTCACTAATATCAGCGGGCACAACCGTTGCTAGGGACACTAGCGCCGGGTTGGTCAATATGAGATCGATCATCGTGCCTTCAGGGCACTGTGGAGTTTCACGGGTCGGCTGCATGACGATGTTCTGGAGGCCAAACGCAGCACAGAGGTCGGTGAGGTGTTTGTGCTGGGGTGCCGGATGGGCTGGGTCCATATTTACATTAAAGTCTCCAACTAGGGTCACGGAAGAAGACTGCACAGCTGCTCGTACAATATCTGCTTCCAAATCTGCCCAGTAAGACACTGGCTCCCCCGGTGGCCGGTACACGCAACCAACCAGGTGCCGACCTGGTTTTCCGTTTATTTCTACCCAGACTGTTTCTGTAGATTCAGAATGCAGATCGGGGCGGGATCGAACTGGGAGATCTTGACGGTAGTAGAAGCAGACTCCGCCACCCAAGCGTTGAGTGCGGTCTTTTCGAATCAGATTGTACCCGTCAATACTGAGCCCTCCGTCTGTAATCTCGGGATCTAGCCATGTCTCTGATAGACCCAAGATGTCGTACTGACGCGTGCGGATGAGGCTGGCAATCTCTGGCAGTTTGTATCTTAAGCTACATGCATTGAGCGTGGCTATTTTTATGCCAGACTGAGTCGGCGTAGATGCATGGGGTATAAAAGGTGGTGCATGAGGATTGAGAGGGAGAGTCATAGTAGGGGCTAAAATGTTGATGCAGATAGATACAGACAAAATTAATGCGGAATAAAGTTAGTCAATGAGACAAACAATGCAAGGCGCGCAACCTCTAACAACTTACAAGCTGTCCCTTCGCCTGCTCCCGAGCTTTCGCTGTGGCATACTCATCCGAAGCCTTGTGACGAGTTGACGAATGGCTTTGCTCTCCTCACTCTCAGTCACCTGGACTCCCTGCTTTGTAGCCGGAGTAATAACACGCGCTGGGAACGTGTGTTTCCCACGAGCCAGCTTGAAGCCTTGGTCATCGGGTGATGGGTGACCAGCTTTGCCTCTACTCATCGGGAACGCGGGTGTGGATGAAGATGTGGGGGCAGTCGCCTCGGTTCGAGCACTCGTGCAGGGAGTGTGAACTCCCAACGCATTGGCGTACGTCCAAGGTTGTGGTGCATCAGGGACATGATCCTGTGCCTCCTTGTTCACACTGCCTTCTGGTTGCTGTTTTGCTGGTGTTGGTAGCGCTGCCACTTCTTGGTTTTCCTGCCCCTGCCCAAGTGGTTCTTGGGGTGGTCCAAGCTCGCTTGTTGACGTTGCAGCTCCCGGACTGGGCTTGGTGCCCTGCTGCGAGATCGCCCTGCAATCCCTCGCCACGTGGCCGGGGGTGCTACATTTCCAGCACGTGGGGGTCTGCCCTTTGTGCCAAACTCGCAGTTTGTACCGGCCTACGGTAATAGAGCTGCGGACAGCGATTGTGGGTACCATGGTGTAGTATACGATACCTGTACTGAAGGTGCAGCCCTCAACCGTCTTTTTGCTACAGTCCAATATAGCTGTGTGTCACGTGTACCTGCTTGACAGACATGTTTACAACACAATCGCTCGGAGGGGAAATTTGTATGTGTGTGTGTGTGTGTGTGTGTGTGTGTGTGTGTGTGTGTGTGTGTGTGTGTGTGTGTGTGCATGGTTGGAGCAGAGAGCTAGCACTGTGGAGCGTGGCAAATTTAGTGGTAAGCACGTTTGGTCCGCCATCCGAGACATTCAACGGTGCTATTCAGGACTCCGATCCGTCACCATCCATCCGGTCCGTAATGCTGAGGGCATAGTTTGCACGTCTTTGGAGGAGCAGGAAGACTGCTGGTCCACTCACTTCTCGAACTTGCTCAATGTCCCCAGTACCTTCAATGCCTCCACCGTTGCTAACATCCCTCAACGTGAGCCTGACGAGTCTCTGGCAGTCACACCAACAATGGAAGACCTTGTCGTCGCCATCAGACACCTTGCAAATGGCAAAGCTGGAGGTTCCTCGCGTATAGTCCCCGAGCTTGTGAAAGCAGGTGGCCATGATTCCCTGGACGCATTGCTGGATCTCGTCCAACTTGCTTGGACGACGGCCACTGTTCCGCAGGAATGGCGCGATGCCGAGTTGGTTCCTGTTCCCAAGAAGGGCGACCTGTCCAAATGTGATAATTGGCGGGGTATTGCCCTTCTTGATGTTGTTGGCAAGGTGTGTGGCCGCATGATTCAAGATCGCCTGCAGTTGTTGGCTGAGTCGGAACTCCCAGAGTCCCAGAGCGGCTTTCGGCCAGGCAGGGGCTGTGTTGATGCCATCTTCTCGCTCCGCCAGCTAATCGAGAAAGCATACGAACATCGTCAGCAGCTCTTCTGTGTGTTTGTGGATTTGAAAAAGGCGTACGATTCTGTACCACGCGCTGCTCTCTGGGTGGCCTTGGGCCGACTTGGGGTCCCGCAACAGCTAGTGGCCCTGATTAAGGCTTTCCACACCTCTACCTCTGCCTCGGTCCGAGTTGGCAACTCCACCTCTGATGAGTTCCCTGTGGTTAATGGTCTCCGACAAGGATGTGTCATGGCACCCGTTCTCTTTAACCTGTACTTCGGGGCGGTTGTTGAGACATGGCGTGCCCGGCTAAAGGATGCAGGTCGTAGTCACTCTGTCAGCATCCAGTTTTCCATCGATGGCCAACTCTACCCCCGCTCATCATCGCGCAGGGCTGGCGAGTCACTGTCTGTTAGTGACCTGGAGTATGCTGATGATGCCGTTCTCGTGTCTGAATGCCGTAGTGATGCTGAGTTTGGTGTGGAGCTCTTCTGTAGTGTTGCCCGAGAATTTGGACTAACTGTGAGCATCACCAAGACGAAGATCATGACGGCGGGCCATGGGGTCTCTGCTGAAGACTCGGCTGACATCGTTCTCCCCCTTGGCACTATCGAAGCCGTGCCGAAGTTCACCTACCTAGGATCCATAGTGACCCCTGACAGTCGTTCTTCATCCGACATCAAGCGCCGTATTGCCGAAGCCTCAAAGGCCTTCGGAGCCCTCCAGAAGGTATTCACTGACAGATCTCTGTCCCTCTCTAGTAAACGCCACCTGTACATGGCCTGCGTTTCCTCAATATTACTGTATGGCGGAGAGTGTTGGACCCCACTCCAACGGGATATCAGAAGTTTGGATAAATTCCACCATCAATGCATCCGGACTGTCCTCAGCATCACCAAGCCTCGTCAGTGGTCCGAGCGGCTGTCATCCACAGACCTGCGGAACCGTTGGGGAGACCCAGTACTGATGTCTACACGCCTCCGCAATCGGCGTCTGGAATGGACTGGGCACGTTGCGCGTATGGATGAGGATCGCACCCCCCTCCAACTCCTCTTTGGGTGGCTACCTGTGCCTCGGCCGTTTTGTGGTCCCCGGCGACGGTGGAAAGACACGGTGATGACCGACCTCAAGGTTGCACTGCAACAGCCATCTCAGTGGTTCATCCTTGCTCAGGACCGCCAACAGTGGAGGGAAGTACGGGTTGCCCCTCAGTCGAGCTCCACCATGCCCAAGTCTGTGCATTGCGCAGTGTGTGACCGGAACTTCTCACGGGTCTCAGATAGAACGCGGCACAAGTGCACCACTCAGAGACGGCTTCCCATCCAGCTCCAGTGTGGATCAGTGCAATGCCAGAACTGCCAGAGGTGGTTCCGCAGCAAGGGTGGCTACTCTGTTCATCGATGCCAGCCTGTCACGAGTTCTCCTACACCAACAGTCAGTCTGTCTGTGCCACTTTCAGCTTGTTGCCAGCAGCACTGCCCAACATGTCAGCGATGCTTCCGTTCTGCGGCCGGGTTCAAGCGTCACAACTGCAATCGTGGTGCGAGACCATCTGCTGCTGAGAGATCAGCTCTGCCCCTCAGCTGCCCACGTTGTAAACGCAATTTCCGCCGGCAGCAGGACCTAGCCAGACATTCGCGGTCCTGCTTGTGATCCGTGTCCCGTTTTCTGGTCCCCTTTCCATAGGGGTGACACTTGCCCCTCTGGGCAGTCATGCTGCTAGTAGTAGTAGTAGTGTGTTTGTGTGTATGTGTGTGTGTGTGTGTATGTGTGTATATGTGTATGTATGTGTGTGTGTGTGTGTGTATGTGTGTGTGTATGTGTGTGTGTGTATGTGTGTGTATGTGTGTGTGTGTATGTGTGTGTGTGTGTGTGTGTGTGTGTGTGTGTGTGTGTGTGTGTCGATTGGAAATAGCTGCACATGCAGGTTCGATTCCAGACGATTATGGTCGCACACGTCTTTCTTCTCTTTTTCAGACTCCTCCTGACTATTCTTTCATTCTCCTGGGTGGTTACCAACAGCCAGTGCATGCCGGAGTATGTGGTGTGATATGTATGCGGGAAAAAAATGAAAAAGACCAAAAAGTAGGGATTCACTGGCCAGAAAAACCCACTTCATAGCTGTGTGGTGTAGACCAGGCTGAATAGTGGTGGTCTCTTCAGCCTTGCAAGCTGTTGAATAGTGCAATCCCAGCACAAGCTGCTATGGCTTCTGCTGTAGCATCGCTATCATCGCCTCCGGCGATGGGCGTCAAACGGTCAAATGGTGTGTGTGTGTGTGTGTGTGTGTGTGTGTTTGTGTGTGTGTGTGTGTGTGTGTGTTAGTGTGTATGTGTGTGTGTGCGTGTGTGTGTGTGTGTGTGTGTGTGTGTGTGTGTGTGTGTGTTGACGCAATGTGATTTCTGCCCAGTGCTAGGGATTCACTGGCCAGAAAATGTCACTCCAAATAGCTGTATGGTGTAGACCAGGCTGAATAGTGACGGTCAATTCTTCAGCCTTGCAAGCTGTTGAATGGTGTAATCCCAGCACAAGTTGCTATGGCTTCTGCCGTAGCATTGCTATCATCGCCTCCGGCAATGGGCGTCAAAGGTCAAAGGTGTGTGTGTGTGTGTGTGAACAGGTAGCTGGATTCGTCCGACACAGTGAGCCGATTTCATATCGGAGTCAGTGTGGGATACAGACCGAAACATTGGCCTAGTTTGAAGCAAGTTTTAGAAAACCTAACCTTGCTGTTTCCCACGGGGTCCATCTTATCACAGGCTCCAATACATTTACATGTATGTGCAGATAATAAAATACAAAAAGCAGAGCCAGTGACAAAGTCAGTAATGTACCATAGGAAGGGGTAATTAGAAGTACACAACGGCTAGTCAACCTAAAGTCAAATCATTCCAATATTAGTCACATCCAACACACCTACAGGTACATGGAAAGGAAACCAGAGCAAGCGGAGAATGTCTTGAAGAAGAAAATGAAGTAAATGAACTTAAATCACATTGTAAACAGGCATAGAACACCAATCAGCCACTTGTATGCAGTTTATACACCAGGTGAGAGCAATAATCAGAATTATTCATGAAATTTAGTTGTAAAGAGTATGCCAAATAAGATGTATGTAATGTATTCAGCAGACAATGTGTAATGTAAGAAAAAATCAATCAGCTGGTAGTTTACTGCCTACGTCCAGCAATTTACCAAGAATGTACCGTGTAATTATTATACACATACGCTAGAATTGACAACACGCGGTAGAATTGACTACACACGGGAAAATTGACAACACGCGGTAGAAAATGGCGACTTGTTCACACATGTATAACCAGGTGACGTGTCTGTGTAAATTAGGGTCCTCATCTGGCTACGTTTCAACTTTCCGAGTCAGCATGGCAACTGTTTTACAAAGCAAAATCACAAGAGAAGAGAACGCACACTCATTCAATCAGTTTAATTCAGTACTCCAAGAGGTGAGATGTACAACAAATATCAGCCTATTGTGCTAAAACAATATTGATCACAAGACTGAGAAATCCACCATTACGGTAACGATGGCAACAGGCAGGATTACAATTCGGGTGGGGGGGGGGGGGGGGAGTGGGAGGCATAAGATGGCTTCAGAATTTCTGGTTATTTTTTCCGTCAAGGACAAGCAGTATGACTTGTCATTTTCGCACTTACCAGTGTCAGTTTGAACGTGTGTTTAGCTTTTTCTTCTTTGCCTGGCCATAGATTACCTGAACAAAAAAAAACAAGAAAATAGTCAATTCAGTTACATGTAGTTTACAGGATAGACACAAACACACACACACACACACACACACACACGTGCACATCCCCCCCCCCCACCCCCCACACACACACACGTGCACATCCCCCCCCCCCCTACACACAACACGTGCACACCCCCCCCCCCCCCCCACCTCCACACACACATGCATCCCCCCCCACACACACACGTCCCCCCCCCCACACACACACGTGCACCCCCCCCCTACATACACACGTGCCACCCCCCCCCCCCTCCCCACACACACACGTGCCACCCCTCCCCCACACACACACGTGCACCCCCCCCCCCTCACACACACTCGCACACACCCCCCCCCCTCACACACACTTCCACCCCCCCTCACCCCCCCCCCCCACACACACACGTGCACCTCCCCCCCCCCCCCCCCCCCCACATACACACGTGCACCCCCCCCCCCCACACACACACACGTGCCACCCCCTCTACATACACACGCGCCACCCCCCCCCTAGGGCTTGGCGGATAATGCCGGCAGAAAAATTGGCAGAATTCGGTACTTTTTCTGGTAAGTTTCATGCATGTTTGGTATGTGGATAAAGAAATGGAGCAGAATTCGAGGAATTGCCCGCCATAAGGTTTGTATGGTTCTGCCAATTTCGGTGCAAAAAAAGCAGAATCTGCCACCTTTTCGAGCATTATCCGCCAAGGCCTACCCCCCCCCCTCCCCACACACACACGTGCCACTCCCCTCCCCCACACGCACACGTGCACCCCCCCCCCCCCCACACACACACTTGCACCCCCCCCCCTCACACACACTTGCACCCCCCCCCCACACACACACGTGCACCTCACTCCCCCCCCCCCCCACACACACACGTGCCACCCCTCTCCCCCACCCACACACGTGCACCCCCCCCCCCACACACACACACACGTGCACCCCCCCCCCCCCCCACACACACACACGTGCACCACCCCCCCCCCCCCACACACACACACGTGCACCCCCCCCCTCACACGCACGCACCCACGCACGCACGCACACGCACACACACACACACACACACACACACACACACACATGCACACACAGACCGCTGACAAAGACACCTACAGAGATGCAGTGTAGATGCAGGTTCTGGTTTCAAATGATTTCTCAGATAAGGGAAAAAAATGGAAGTTTCCGGTGTAGAAACTGCTGTTATCACCCACCCTCACAGCCTTACAACATACATGTACACCTCTGACCACCACCAGTGTGTGTAGGTCTGCAATGGGTAGAGGTTTGATTAGGTAACAGGTTCAGGTACTTTCATCTGAGTAGCAAGTATACCCGGTTAAAGGGGAAGTTAAGGCAAAAATTAAAATTTCACCAGTTGTAGTCTTCGGGGTGCTGAGTCGAATGGTCGTGGTCCGAGGAAGCTGAGACGCTCCCTTCCTACTTGAATCCCAATCGAACTCGCGCACTTCCACCGAAACTGGGTGACTGCGCCCTACTAGATGGGGATTTGTATGCAAAATGTCACTAAAAGCGCCATTTCGTTCTTATTAAAGCACGGATGACCGCGATTGGCCCATATGTTGTAGTCTTTTGGACGCTGAGTCGACTGGTTTTGGTCCAAAAAGGCTGCGATGCAGCGTTCCTCCTTTATTCCCAATCGAACATGGTTGAACAAGCGGTCACGTGCTCCTGCGTACGCCAGTCACCTGGTCACCGTGCCTGCAGGGTACAACTTACTAGCCTGTTTGACCTTTTTTGGGTGCAGTCCTGTCACTCGAGTTGAACCCGAGTTGAACCTTGGTGTGAAAGTTGTCACCTGCTGGCGTGGTGACCAGGTGATTTGGGCACCCAGGACCACGTGACCGCTTCTTCAACCATGTTCGATTGGGAATAAAGGAGGAACGCTGCATCGCAGCCTTTTCGGACCAAAACCAGTCGACTCAGCGTCCCAAAGACTACAACATATGGGCCAATCGCGGTCATCCGTGCTTTTATAAGAACGAAATGGCGCTTTTAGTGACATTTTGCATACAAATCCCCATCTAGTAGGGCGCAGTCACCCAGTTTCGGTGGAAGTGCGCGAGTTCGATTGGGATTCAAGTAGGAAGGGAGCGTCTCAGCTTCCTCGGACCAAGACCATTCGACTCAGCACCCCGAAGACTACAACTGGTGAAATTTTAATTTTTGCCTTAACTTCCCCTTTAATAGAGGCTCCGCACGGCGTGCAACGTGACAAGGCCCCATAATCTAAACACCCCCCACAGGTCCCCCCACACCATCACACCTCAACCCCCTTACGCCATCACAGCCCCCATCCCTACAACCATCACACCATCTCAGCCCCCACCACTACAACCCTCACACCATCCCAGCCCCCCCCCCCCCTACGTATCCTCACAGTACCTCCCCCCCCCCCCACCTGCGCCTACCCATCCTCACAGCCCCCCCCCCACCTGCCCCTACACATCCTACCAGCCCCCCCCCCCCCGCCTCTTTCCCCTACACATCCTCACAGACCCCCTCCCCTACACATCCTCACAGCCCCCCCCCCCCCTGCGCCTACCCATCCTCACAGCCCCCCCCCCCCCTAGCATCATACACATCCTCACAGCCTCCCCCCCCCCCACCTGCCCCTACACATCCTACCAGCCCCCCCCCTTCCCCTACACATCCTCACAGCCCCCCTCCCCTACACATCCTCACAGCCCCCCTCCCCCTGCCCCTACACATCCTCACAGCCCCCCCTCCCCTACACATCCTCACAGCCCCCCCCCCCTCCCCCTACACATCCTCACAGCCCCCCCCCCCCTCCCTCCCCTACACATCCTCACAGCCCCCCCCCTCCCCTAAACATAACTAAATATACGTTTCCCCGTAATCCCCAGTTATCTACCCCCCCCCCCCCGCGTATTTTCTGTAATCTTTTGTTTTTGTGGAGCGCTTGGGTTGCAATGAAGCCGAGACCCTATGGTCGGTCAAGCTGCCCCTGCCTCTCCCCCACTCCTGCCATTCCATATGTCTCATCTCTGCCTTGCTGCTTTGTGCCATCAAATGGTGTGTGGTTTTTTGTAAAGAAAAAAAAAAAAAAAAAAACATCCTCACAGCCCCCCCCCCCCTCCCCTACACATCCTCACAGCCCCCTCCCCCTGCCCCTACACATCCTCACAGCCCCCCCTGCCCCTACACATCCCCACAGTAACCAGTTCTCCCCACAGCCATTGCGTGTCTGCCAAAACTGGATACCCTTACCGCACGGCAGGGACAATCCCCAGACCAGTCACGTATTTGCCAGCCCTGTGAGCTGCCATGGTCTTTTTGATCACAGTTACAATGGGTGCCCTTCTGTGGCATGGGCATTTGGGCACACTTTGGGTATACATCACAGGTTGACAAGGACCTTGCGGGGATTTCTTCCGTTTCGCAAGTCCATTGTACTAAAAATCACTCCTACATCGGCAATACGGAATTATTTCAGCAAAAGTAGGGAAGTCTCACGCGAGCCGTGAATTTGTTTACATTAACATAGAAGCATGGCAGGCGCAAGCTGAGTAATGAATATCCTTGCAAAGCGAGTGCTTGCCATGTTACGACTTCAGACATCACAAAACATCCTGTCCTGGGTACAAGTCACACCTATCTTGCAGTACAAATTCAGGCAGCGACGTGCAGTGTGTGTCGAAACCGGCAACACACGTCAGCACACGTAGCACGCAAAACACTGACGAGTACAGAAAATCAAAAACCCGAGTACGCAAAACAGACCCAGTTGGTTGGCAAATCTGGTTGAATGACAGTCGATGATTCAGCCATACTCCACCATTACACACTCCACACACTACATACATATTTACTCACTCATGAACTACAAAATAAACACATACCTTGTCAGCTGCATGCTGTGTGAGAAGCTGCACACATTCATCATGACCACGTAGCTTTGCTAGGTCCAATGCTGTGTCACCATTCTGAGTAGCACAAGAACACATCACAAGCAAAACAACAACAGACATACTCATTCAAAAAACGAAGAAATTTACAATCTCACGAAAATGAACAATGCAGCACAACAAGCACATTATCGAAGATGAGAACTAGCCAATGACCTCTTGAAATAACTCACATGACAAACAACATCTTCCTCGTTGACATCCATGCCCAAGAACTGTATTCAAGCATTTCAATTCACTTGACTCTTCGAAAATTTTCAAAAATTCTTCAGCAGATAGATAGAGAGAGAGATAGAGAGATAGAGATAGAGAGATAGAGAGATAGAGAGATAGAGAGATAGAGAGATAGAGAGATAGAGAGATAGAGAGATAGAGAGAGAGAGAGAGAGAGAGAGAGAGAGAGAGAGAGAGAGAGAGAGAGAGAGAGGAGAGAGAGAGAGAGAGTAAGTTACATTTATAAAGACAGGTAAGTCTAACAAATGAGGACTGAGACCTCTACAACAGGGTTTTTACGCCTGAAAGCAGGTGCATGATTTAACAAGCAGGTTGTCAGTCTAGATTTTATGCGCAGATGGAGAAAAAGCGCAGAATTTTTGTAATGAGATAAAAAGCAGAAATAATAAGAAATAATAAGAAAAGATGAAATGAAAGCCTGCTCACAACCCCGCCCAGCCTTGCGAACTGGGTATGGTGGATTAAGAACCCGGTTCAACGCTCGAGCAAGCGCTCTCCACTCAAGGTGTTCACAGCAACTGATAGGAACTCATATGGGGAAATTATAGAAAAGAAATAATAAGATAAAGAGAATAAATTTCAACGCACCTCAATAAACGGAGCCCCACATACAGTACCTCAGAAAAGTGGATCTTCCGACCAGTGTTTTTGTTGACGCCGCAACCAGATGATGTAGCTGCTTCGCAGAGACGTCTTACTGCACAAATTACAAATAAATTTTATTCTTCGATTAGAAAATCCAAGCGCTTTCAGAGCCCTCCGAAGAGAGTCCGGGATGAAACCACGCACACCTACCTCAACCGAAAAAGAAACGACCTGCCACCCGTTTGCTCGGCATTGATCGGCCAGATCCGCATACCGCCTGTCCTTCCGCGAGTTACTGACACTGAATCTGTCCTCAGCACAAACTGTCAACTCCATCCAGAATACAATCCTACGACTCGTAGAGTACAGAACTATATCTGGTCTTAGGGTGGTAAGTGCAACACAGCTAGGGAAAGAAATCTTTGCACTAACTGAGTCGACAAGAAGTTTCCAGTCTGAGGCCGCTGACAGGAGATCAGTCGTAACCAACTTTCGTCTGGGCTGAACGCGAACTGGCTTCTCTCCCGCCTTGCAAAACGAGATGAAGTCAAGCTCATTTGAATTTTCGGTTTGTACGGTGTTTGCAGCAGTGCGGATTCGAATCTCCTCACGCATGTTCCTGACGATGACCCCGAGTACGTTGTCGTGCCTCCAGGTGTAACGTCCCTGGTCCAGCGCTACGCGACAAGCGCCAAGCACGTGGCGCGTAGTACAGGCCCAGGTACGGCACAAACTACAGTACGGATCCACTACGGTGTTTCCCCAACGGCGTAGGTTCGTCGGAGAAGGTAGCACGTCGAGGGTTGATGCGAGAAGAAATTTCAAATCCTTACCAGTACCACCGTACAAAAGGGATTTCCACGAGAGGTCCTGCCACATCACCGATGTCCACTCCAACCACTTGCCTTGCACCTGAAGAGTCTTCAGCCTCAAAATCTGCTCCTGCGCGTTGATCTCCTCAAATGTTTGAAGGAGATCCTTCCTCGGGGGTTTGGAATGCTGCTTCGGAGCACGAGCACCCAACCCTGCACGATGACTTGAAGATGACGGTGGACGGAGAGTCCCTGAACCTACTGATGCCTCTGCACACTCCAGCTCTATTGTCGCCGCATATCGCTTTGTCAGCTTCGCATCCTTACTCCGACGCAGAGTGTACAGCGCCCTCATGCGCGCGTCCCCACTCGATCGAAGAATGTGCCATTTGATGGACTGGCACTTTTTCCACACCGTAGGAAGGTAGTGGAGGCGTAAGCCAAAGCGTTTGCGACTGCCAATAAAAAGAATGGCAGAGTTTGCGCATCGAGGTAGGCCTGACCATTTCTTCAGAAATGGTAAACACATAAAGTGCAGTTCACGTACAAAACCTTGTGTGAGTTCAAGAACCTGGAAAGACCAAGAAAGCTTGGGCACTACAAGATGGTGGTAAAGCCATAGCTTGTGGTGGTCTTGAAGCCAAGAGCCATCTACTTTTTGCATGAGAGATACAGTGAGTTGACGGATGTCTTCCCGCTGGGTCTGCTCAGAGCAATCAGCATGCAGCCTTCGCCCCAGGAACTTGAACTCTGCAGTGTCAATGAAAGCGATCTTCCTCCCTGACATTGTCAGGCAGGGATCGTAAGGTTTGTACCGGCCATCTACAAGCTTTGCTGCACTGCTTTTGCATTTGTGCGGCGCCGCCTGCATACATTGGGTCCACGAGAGAAAGTCCTCCGTGACCGCAATGCGTTTTTGACAACCTGCACTAGATTTGCTATAGAGGCCTAAGTCATCAGCAAAAGCTGTTTGAGACACTTGCAAAGGGGCAGATTTAAAATCATAGGAGAGGCAACTTAATTCAGGGGCTGCAAGTGAGTCCAGCAGAAGCTGGAAACAAATATTGAAAAGGACCGGGGACAAGGGGCACCCCTGGAAAACACCAATGTTGTAATTAAAGGTGGGTGTGTGCGGTTGTACGACGAAAGCGCAAAGACTGTCGTAGTAGGAAAAAATTAATTTCCTGAATTGCAAAGGAAGGCTGTAGTGGGTTAGAGCATACTGTATCAGATTGTGGCGCACTGAACCAAATGCATTCTTCAAATCTATCCACGCAATGCAAATTTGGCGTTTTGCCGTCTTTGCATCACGCATCGCCTCATAACAAAGTGATGTATGCTCTAAGCACCCAGCCTTTGCAGGCATAAATCCTTTCTGGTTGTCACCATCGAAGAACTTATTGCCTAGCATATGTTTCAAGAGGCGCTTTGCAACTAAGGTGAAAAAGATCTTCCCGGACGTGTTCGCTAGAGCAATCGGTCGGAATTTCGAAGGATCATCAGACACCTCCCCCTTGGCCAGGAGTGTGATACACGCTACCTGCCACTGCCTTGGAATGATCTTGCTCTCCCAAACCCGCCCAAAGATGGTGAAAAGAATGGATTGAAGGGAGGGACAAAGCTTCCAAACTATGTAAGGTATCTTGTCAGGACCCGGTGCAGAGGTGTTGCGACACTTCTTCAAAACATTCTGAAATTCAGTCCATGTAGGGGTCCCCTCATCGACTGGGTGGGTGCAATCCCGGGGCTTCCCTGCACTGGGGCAGGATTCGTACGAAGTGGCACGATCCTGGTCTGCATATGTGTGTTGGAAGTACTCAAAGCAGGTAGTGTCAGAGAAAGTGGGTTTGACATGGTTGGTTGGTTGAAACAATTTCTTTCCGAAGGCATATGGGTCCTTGAGAAAGGCATCCTGGTCCCTCTTGTTCCGGGATCGATCGTCGTACATCTTTTGTTGTTTCAAAAGACGCTTGATTTGTTTTCCAATTGAAAAATACTCATTTCTGAGCGCTGCAGGTACTTCGTCCGGGTTTTTGATCTTACGAAATTGGCGCTTTAAATCACGCCTGTGAGCCCGGAGTTTTTCCACTGCACGGTTTTTATTTGCATTCTTGTGTTTTGGTGGAGGTGGTGGTGGTTTCTGGTCGAAAAACCAGTGAATGAAGTTCTCTAGTTTGTCCAGAGTCTCTTCGATGTTAGTGTTTTTGAGGTATGAGGTTGGGAAATGTTGAGTGAGATGGATCTTCAACTGAGCGTTTATTGTGTGCCATGCCTTGGTGTTTTTGGCTGACGGTAGCAGTAGGGACTGCCGGACTTCTACCTTGTCCATGTCCCGTTGATTGAGAGAGAGAGAGAGAGAGAGAGAGAGAGAGAGAGAGAGAGAGAGGGAGAGAGAGGGAGAGAGAGAGAGAGAGAGAGAGAGAGAGAGAGAGAGAGAGAGAGAGAGAGAGAGAGAGACAGGACAGGTGAGAAGGACTAGTAGAAACTGTTCACTTCACAACACAAAATCAAATACTTACCCAGTCAAGCAGTGCAGTATCCAAGGTGACACTGTCACTGTCATGTGACAGTATCACCTTGACAACATTGATCTTGTTCATGTAGACTGCCCAGTGCAGTGGAGTAAATCGTCCCTGTAGAGAAAGAGAGAATGTGATGAGTATTGCTATACAGCCATTACACTAACTACTACAACCACACACCGACACAGACCTGGACAACTTGAACAAACACAACAATGCACGTGCACAAATGAACACACATGCAGGACCACAGGCACATGCACAAACATGAAGAATTACAAGTCATTGTGCACACACACACGCACACACACATGCACACAATAACACACGTGAGGCTACAAGATAACACAGGTTGTACAATGAAAGGTCGTTCATGATGAACAGATGTGAGTGCAAACGTAGACACACGTGGGCACAGGACATACGAGTACAAACGATGAACGGATTGTCTTACAGACCTTTACACAGACATGTAAGAACATACAAACTGAGAATTCAGTTGAGACAAGCAGACTCTAGAGTAACACTATTTCTTACCATGCTGGACTGTGTGTTGAGGCAAGCGCCGCGTTCGATGAGCAGTTTTGCTAAACGTGCATTGCCTTTATATGCACAGTGGTGTAAGAGAGTCCAGTTGGCCTGAACACATGCACACACACACACACACACACACACACACACACACACACACACACACACACACGCACACATACACACACATACGCGCACACACACACACATACGCACACACACACACACACACACACACACACACACACACACATACACGCACACATACGCACACAAACACATACACATACACGCACACATACACACACACAAACACACACACACACATACACGCACACACACCACACACATACACACACACACACACAAACACACAGATGAATATGCCGTACATGTTCACAGGCCAAACACACCAACATGGAAACAGACGTACACACAGAGACACCAGCAAAGACGTACACATGGCAGTGAACCAGCACAGTATACTGAACACAGACAATGTCTCTTGTCACAATCCAAAACACAACAACTTACTTTGGTCTTATCTTCTTCATTGACATCAACTGTCTTGAAGTGAAGAATATAGTCGACAAGACCTTGCATCATTTCATCACCCAAATGTTCACCACAATGGCAGAGAACAAGTATCATCGTGACCTATGTGATATACAAAACAGAAGAAACAATTTGACAATTACAACAATGACAGCAACAATACTCTCAGTACAATGCCATTAGGAGTTAGGAAACCTACTGATTGACCTCAGAGGTCAAAACCAGTCAAATTGTCGTAACTTTATTCCAGCTTGAGAGAAGCTTGCAGCAATTGCACATCTTGTAAAGTTATGTCACAGAAACAATTTCCACCAGTCATTATCACTTGACAATGGCACAGACAAGAAGACGGCGTGTCACCACTTGAACATGCATACACATACGGGTACGCGAACACACATAAACATACACGTGCACGCACGCATATATGCAGGTAAGCAAATACACGGACGCACATGTAGACACCTCAGATCTCAGACATGCCCATCGCGGAAGCGATGATAGCGAACAGCTATGTTAGACATAGCAACTTGTGCTGGGATTACACCATTCAACAGCTTGCAAGGCTGATGAATGTAGATACACACACACACACACACACACACCACACACATACACACACACACACACACCACACACATACACACACACACACACCACATACATACACACACACACACACACACCACACACACACACAAGCACACACACACACACACACCACACACACACTCACCTACTACATCGACACTCTACTTACTCCTAGTGTGTAGGAAAATGGGATTACCGCACCAAGTGGTGACCATCTAACTCTCTCTGCTCCAATACTCTGCAGGAGATGAAGGACGTTGAACACCAACGCCCAAATCTCATACATCGCTCGCCCTTTCTCAGAAACTGCATCAGCAAATTTCTTCACAGTTTCTTCAAGATCTGTACCGTACAAACAGACACAACATACGAATGACATTTTCACCTCTTCACTATTGTTGACACATGCACAGTTGCACACACACACGTCATGACGTCATAGAGACGTCCCTTATTTGGACAGTGGCAAGTAATGACATTTGTCGCCACCGAGTACAGCGTGGTACAGGTATCCTAGCAACCATCATTCACAAACAAGCGTCACAATAACCGTACATACAGCGATATATGGTTGTCAGTGACTGTAGCTGAAAGAGGTGAAGACGATCAATGAACGACATCACGAGGGTGTCTTCACAACACACTGCAACACATGCAATTTACGTTCTTCAACAAAATTACTGAAACGACCGACAAATGTTACACCTCATTGCTACCACTGCCTACGACAACTATCGACGAAAGAAAACTACTCCACACCTCAACAAAAAACCAATTTAGAAAGAGTAACCACGAAGAAGAAAACGACTGTTAGAAGAAGAAGCTCCAAACCCAATGAACGGAACAATTTCACTTTCACTCTTTGCAAGCAACGGAAAATATCGACGGCCAACTCATGATATTCTAGCAATGCCAATGTCCGTCACAACCAGGAACATTGTCCAATGTCCTGTTCATCAACTCTAACTTCCTTACAAAGAACAAACATGTACTTGATTTACAAGAGGTCAATCAGTAGGTCACTGAATGGCCGTCACGTTGTGACACGAGACTAGGACAGAGACGAAGGTTCACGACAAACGACATTCAAAAACATAGGAGATGAACGACGGCAAAGCGTAGCCATTGGGAAGAAATCTGTTTTTACTCACAGTCTAGGATGGTCGCCTTCCGTCTCGCTTCCATTGATCACAAGAATCACTACGAACCACTCCCACTCGACTAACTGAATTGCTGGAAATATTTCAATTGAAACTTTACACGACGAGGAAGGGCACTGCTGAAGTAAAACATCAACATGCAAATACTCTAGTCCAGTACCTATGGCTGAGTTTCAAAACCTCCTCCCTGATGTTCCTTGGACATGAACAAGACTACTAATGAACTGCAAGGAACGGACGAAAGTCTTGACGAGCAACCAGAAAGTATTCAGCTGCGCGACGGGAAAATGTGAGGGATCAACTGACTGAACCTTTGAACTCTGACCTTTAGTTTGCTAGCTATAGCGTTCTGTTGATGTATGGTAGATCTACATTACAGACAGCAGTAGACTGCTTGATACAAAATGTATTACTGTGGATGACTAATCCGTAATCGGCACTGACTCTTTCTATTCTAGTGCAGTGTTCGCTAGCACTAGCTACACAGCCTAGCCTACGTGCGTACATGTACATACTTGGTAATGGTTACGTCATAGAGAAACGTTACTTTGATACAACATTCAACAAGGACTCTAACGAAGTCTCAGACATCAGAGTCAATAGAGAGGTTCCGGAGTACGATTTTGCGTGCCAAAATCCGTAGAGGCGCTACGGATTTTTTATACGTCGTTTTCGAGCAGTGAAATGTTCCTGAGTACGGAACTTATGTGTTTGCCGTCATTGCCTAGGTTACGATCGCAAACACGTCACATTCCCCCGCTATGCCTTTTTATTTTGAAAATTCGTACCGAAATCAAAACTACCCGCCGAAAATCGATGTTTCTCGTACCAAATTTGTACGCGAAAAATCTTTCTGCACCCGATGACGCGAAATCTCCATACGAAACATGGTCCGTACTCCGTATGAAAGCCAGTCCACACGGATTCTCCGTGCCGAAAAATCGTATGAAGCACGCCTCGAAAAAATCCGTAGAGCCTATACGGATTTTGGCACGGAAAATCGTACCCCGGAACCTCTCTATTGCTGCGTAGCATCTGTGTCTGCGCATAGCACTGGTGAGTAGATATACTGGGGACTAGGCCAGAGACACCACACAACACTCTACAGACCAGAAACAAAGTGCAATTTTGGAATCAACTAATTGATCAGTACAGTGGCCTATGCAATGCACGGCCGGTCGAGATCACGACATGATCACGACATGATCTACTGACCCCAAACACGGTCATACTGTAGCCATGTGCAAGAGTACAGAAATCTCCGTGGTCCAAACCAATCGAGTACAAATGCGACTACCGGTATGTCTACCGCCTACCGGGTCTAGCATACACTCTTCTGGTCGGCGTAAACTGAATCCTATGCCAGAGCGCTTCTATGGCCAAAAGAGTGGTACAATCTGACACTCCGTGACTGCGTGTTATTGGATACTACTTGGAATAGTAGATATCTTTGTCGCTGCATTCTCTTGAATTCTCAATTATGAAAGTGACATAGATCTACCGTACACATCTCACATGCCTACTAGTGTGTGTTCAGACAATATCCAGTAGACTGTGGGAGAGAGAAAGAGCAACACGTCCATTCAGATAAGAAGTGATCTTTTCAACGCAGACAAGGTCAAAACACCACACACACACAGTAACACACACACACACACACACACACACACACACACACACACACACACACAGACGCACGCACTCACGAGAGAGCGCGCGTACGTACCTCGTTGCGATTTTGCTGCAGGCTGAGTTTGAGAGGCGGCAGCAGCGGCGGCGGCAGGTTGTGTTGGTTTCGGGACGGTAGCAGAGGGAAGTCTGGTCACTTCGCGTCCGTCAGAGGACACAACAACATCTTTAGAATGGTACTTCGTGTGGAATTTGGGTGAAGGCATCTTGGCAGTTAAAGGTTTTGTGTTCTTACGAAAAGCAAAGAATCAGTAGTCAGTATAAATTGTACTGCAGAAAATCTAAAACTTATACAAAAACAAAACAGGAGATAAAGGATTGGCGTGACAGTCTAGTAACATAGTAACAGTGCGGGTTGGGTTTTCTTGCCAGTCTCGCTGTGCACGTGTGTGCAGGGGAATATCACACGCACGTTCCCAGCAACACTCAGTCTCACACACTCAGGAAGGCGAAGTGCTACTTCATGGCACTTCGCCGCTCTTGTCTAGGAACTAACTTGATACAGAATGCACACGTTGGAGGTTGTGGAATTCGGAAATTGAAATCTCTCGGATCATCAGTGACAGTCCAGCTGGCCAGGCCAGGCAGCAGTCCACGGTACCCGTACATGTAGAGAATCCTATCTTGGATATCCGAATATGGACACACGTACAATATGGTATTTACACTGAGCGACAAAGTGACTCTACTGTTTCCTTCACAAGAATGGGGGCCGTACATGCTGTGCGGAATAGCAACCAGAGTCCGCCATAGCGGCAATGGCCTACAGTAGTAGTAGTAGGGCTGGATGAAAAGTCAGTGTTACATGTAGTCCGTACAGACCGAGTATGAGTTTGAGTGAACGGAACAACGACTTGTTTGCCTTCCGCAGGACCGCAGGGCAGTCCACGTTTTGCTAAAAGGAGAAAATTCACAATCTCATACACAACTCGGTCTATGGATGGTCGTGAGGTGCATGACATTGTGCATAATCATTCCGGACATGTACATGTAAATCCCCCCCCCCCTCTCCCCCCCCCCCCTCCCCTACCCCGTAGAAGCAAGCTTGGAAGGGGATTAACGAAAAAAGGTTTGCACCACCGGCTATACAATTTCATGGAGAACCTCAAACAGCTATTAGTTTCGCATGTGCCAGGCCACCACCATGCTGCAAGGGGATTACAAGTAGTACATCTTACCATTATGATAATTACCACATCAAATGCTGCGGAGACCTATCCAGAATCGGCAATACGCTGGCCCTGGCCTGGAGATCTGCAACAACAACTACAATCAGCTTCTACTTTGCAACATTAACGGATTAGTCTCCTTTTGTCGATTGATGGATCAATCGGTAGATTCGGCTCTGTTTTTCTTTCCTTTCTTTCTTGTTTAAATTGTATGTTGAACTCATTGGATTTCTTTGTATTCTGTATCTCGTTATCGTTATATTTTCCTCTAGCCCTCTCGCTTAGGATGAGCTTTCTTTTTATGGCAGCTTAAGCGAAGGCTATATACCTGCTTTATGCAGGTTGATGCCAACGCGAACAAGCAAAATAATAATAAACATCTTTCCACGTCGAATGTCGTATGGTGTACCATGGACTGGTCAGACTGTACAGCTGGGAATGCATGGTTCAATTAAATAATTTCAGCTTTCCTGCTGACGGTGACTCACCTGCCACCATGTCCCAATAGTGCAATGCCCTGTGCAATACACAATAATTGATTGTAGCAATTTTGAAGATATAACGTGTACAAAGTTCAACTCGGATGGTGAGCCAAATTAACAAAAATTATGGTGAAAAAGGAGAAAGACAAAATGTTACGAGTTAGGACTAACTGTCCACCAACGTAACCAGATCTTATACAGTCAGCGAGTGCGACAAAATAGCACAAAACTGACAAGGAGTACTGAGACATTCGGCGACCTGACTGTATAAGATCTGGTTACGTTGGTGGACAGTTAGTCATAACTCGTAACATTTTAGTCTTTCTCTTTTTCATCATAATATAAAGTGTATCTGGTCTACATGTATACCGGGACTATTTTGTTCAGCTGTCCTACTCGAAACAAGGAAGATGATTGGACCAACACCTGACATGATTTTTTAATTTCCCTCCCAGTGCTATCTTCCTTTGTCGTGTCAAATCGAGCATCTATGTCTCATCCACTCCCCCCCCCCCCCCTAACTCTTTCTCTCCTCTCCTCTTCAAAGTCGTCTCCTTGCGAGTAGACATGTTTGTCAGTTTGCTTCAACGCATGCATGTAGAAGTGCAACAACAACGAGTAGGCGTCTGCTGCACTTTCTTCTCCAAAGGTTGCCAGCTGACCGCTTGGAGCAGCGCAACCTCCATCATGATCACCTGGTCGGCTTGTGTGTGTGTGTGTGTGTGTTTGTGTGTGTGTGCGCGCGTGTGTGTGCGTGTGTGTGCGTGTGTGTAGGTGTGTATGTGTGTGTAGGTGTGTGTAGGTGTGTGTGTGCGTGTGTGCATGTGTGTGTGTACGTGTGTGTAGGTGTGTGCGTGTGTGCGTATGTGTAGGTGTGTGTGTATAAACCAAACTTGCCAAATCGCTAATTGTATACTCACGTTGCCATAGCGACCAGCGGAGTGATGACGTATGAAAGGCTTAGCTCCATCACAGAGTAGGTCCATCACTGCAGAATTTGGTCATTTTCAATTGGTTTATTGTATTCACGAAGTGAAAGAAGAGCTGTGTTCAATGCTGTTAGTGCAGTGAACAGTTTGTTAGTAGTCCTCTCGGTTGTATACTGGGACGTGACACCGACAGGAGAAAGCTGGAGTGCGGAGACATCAGCAGACAAGCGAAAATAGTGACGAACAAAATGCTGAAATCTTGGTTGGGACAAATCAGACGTTCAGCATTTCCCCCAACCAAGGACTATGCCGTTTGCTCTTTCCACTTCCTGAAGATGGATGTGATGCCCTCTGGCGACTCTCCTATCTCTCGTAACATCTTTTGAAGCCAGGTGAGACGACGGGTGGTGGAGATTGACGAATGAAATAATGTCGTAGGTTTGAAAGTTTGCTGAAAATGTATCAGGAGAGATGGCGAGTACCAAGCATCTTCTCCAAGAGGAAACCATTTCCTAGGCACAGTCAGCCTCGGGAAATGCAGGAGAAGGCCGATGAACAGCTCACGGCACAAACAGCATTGAACACAGCACTTCTTTCGCATCGTGAATACAATAAGACGATTGAAAATGACCAATTCCTGCAGTGATCGACCTTCTATGTGGTGGAGCTAAGCCTTTCGTACGTCATCACTCCGCTGGTCGCTATGGCAACGCGAGTATGCAATTGGCTATTTGGCAAGTTTGGCTTATCGTATAGAAGCGAGAGATATGCCATTCGAACCGATATTAAATTGCCTTTCTTCTGGACCCTACTCGAAAAATCGATGCACTTCCCCTTTAACAGCTAGCATCATTGCAGCTCACCGCCGCGGGTACGTGCTGCCCCATGTCCTCGAATGCACATAGTGCCACACAACTGCCCCTGCTGCCCCATGCCCTTCCATGCGCATGGTGCCGCACAACTGTCTCCGCCGCCCTTTGTCCTCGCAGGCGCGTGTGGCCGCACACCTACCTCTGCCGCCCCATGTCCTTGCGGGCATATGGCGCCGCACAACTGTCTCTGCGCCCTCGCACAG